GACCCTCTAGCCAATTCGCCACCCACCGGACTGTGTAGTCATCCAAGTCACAGCCTCTTAACTTGTTCACCAGTATGGGGTGGGATACCGTATCGAAGGCCTTCCTGAAGTCTAAGTATACCACATCCACCCCTCCTCCTGTGTCCAGGCGTTTCGTAACCTGGTCATAAAAAGAGACTAGATTGGTCAGGCACGATCTGCCTGCCACGAACCCGTGCTGGTTTCCCCTCAGCATAATTTGTCCTGCTGGGCTCTCACAAATGTGAGCCTTGATAATTTTTTCAAAGACTTTGCCAAGGATGGAGGTGAGACTGACTGGTCTATAGTTGCCCGGGTCCTCCTTCCTCCCCGTTTTGAAAATGGGGACCACGTTGGCCCTTTTCCAGTCCTTCGGGACTTGGCCCGTGCGCCACGAGCTTTCAAATATTCCCGCCAGTGGCTCTGCAATGATGTTGGCCAGTGCCTTCAGCACCCTCGGATGGAGCTCATCCAGGCCTGCCGACTTAAAGGCATCCAGTTCTTCCAAGTGACTCTGCACCATCTCAGGGTCTATGCATGGTAGTCTGGCGCCTTGCTGCTGCCTCTCTACAACCCCAGTGAGAGACTTGTCGTGCCCCTCGCTTAGGAACACTGAGGCAAAGAACTCGTTGAGGAGTTCAGCCTTGTCCCCTCTGTTCGTCACCAATTGTTTCTGCCCATTTAGCAGGGGTCCTATTCCTCCCTGGGTTATTCCTTAGTATCTGACTTAATATATTTCAAATGTTCCTTTAAATGAGACAGTGTGTGAAAACATTATGTAAGGGCATGAGGGCCATTCAAAGATTGTAAAAAGCTGAATTATTCATTTAGTTTTGAAGAAATCTTGAAGTGATTGGTCAGATGAATTAGCAGACTTGCTACTGAGGGCCTGCAGGCTGTCTCTAAATCCTCTCTTCCATTGGTTTTCACCCACTACAACTACATTTCTACTTTAGAATGGCACAAAAGAGTCATTTGTAACAGAAGAGCAATTCTAGGCTTTCCAATTTTTTTTAAAAGATAGATACAGTAAAATACTTTAGTTCAGCTAGGTAGTGTGTTTGATAAGATAATTTCAAATGCATCTTGGATTTTTTTCTTGAGAGCTAAACTTCCAAGGCCAAAAATCTTGAGTCATCTTTAATTTCAAATTCTCTCTGGTCTCCAACTCCCTTGTCTGTAAATCTGCTGTCTCTCCCACCAGAACATTGTTAGAATTACTCCCTAACTTGACCCTTTCTGCTGAATTCCTTGTCCATGCTGTAATCCAGGAGTGTCAAATTTGTCCTGGGCCAGATCCAGGCTGCAGGGGCTCCTCCTGGGCCAGATCCATGTAGCCACATTTATGCAGCAGTGTAGGTCTGGGGGAATGCAGCTGTGTGGAGCTGGGGGCATGCATTGGTAAGGAGCCAGGGGCGTGTGGCAGTGCAGAGTACTGACTGGACGGAGGCACAGAGCTGGGAGCATGTGGCTGCATGAAACTACATTCAGGCAGTGGCATGTAGCTGGAGCCAGGGGTATGCAGTATCATGGACATGGACATGACTGTGGGCAGCAGCCCACTGACTCCATGCCACCTCCTGATTACTGGGGAACTGAGTTTTCGGTTTCATGCAGAAAAGTGCTGATTTTTCATTTTAGAAAAGCATGGATTTTTTTTCCTTTAAAGGAGAAAACCATGGGGAAACTGGGTTTCCCCTAGTAGGCTGGCAGCCTTCCAGCCTGCAAGGAGCTGCTTGGGGCTGTAGGGAGCAGGCAGTTGGGGAGGCAGGGGGCTTCACATGTGTGTGCATGGGGTGGGGGGGGACTTTTAGGGGTCAGTGGGGAGCTGTGTGGCTGGTGCCCATGCTCTCAGGGGTGGGCTAGCCGGGAGATGCTGCCTTGGGGCTGGGGAGAAGGCAGCTGAGATGGTCAGACCATCTGGCTTAGCATGGGAACCCTAGCCCAGGGCAGGGAGTGCTGTAGGTGTTGTCCCCTCCTTCTCCTTCTAGCCTGCGCCAGAGCCAGACTTGCTCCATCGCCACCCACGTGAACTGGAGCTGTCACAGCCACTGCACTCTGGCCCGGGCAAGATGGGGCCAGGATCCCCTTGTCCTCCCCTTACTGCCTGAAGCATGGCCAGGACCAGAGCTGCTTTCAGCTTTATGTTACTACTGTGGAGTGTGGTGCTGGTCTTTCCCATCGCAGCCCCAGCCCCATCGTAGCCCCAGCTGGTGGCATGGGATAGCATGTGGTGCTCTAGCTGCTGCCTGTGCTTCCTCACCACGATGTGCTGCATCCACTTCATGCTGGAAGCCGTCCCTGCCATGTTCCCACAGACCACCATCCTATAGTCTGTACAGGGTGGGGCAGGGGCAGCTGGGGGCCCCTTCTGGCAGGCTGGTGGGGGAGCAGGGGGCTGCAGGTTGGGAGTGAGGGGGCACCAGCATTGCTTGGGGAGGTGGGGACTGTGGATCAGGATTGAGGGGCACTGGCAGGGCCAGGGGGCTGTGGGTTGGGAGTGTGGGGCAGCAGCAGGGCCAGGGGGTTGTGGGTCAGGAGCGAGACACAATGGCATGGGCAGGGCTCTGGCATATCAGGGCTGCTCAGTGCCACAAAGTGCGGGGGGGGAAGGAGCGGTACACACACAGCCGCAGCTGGACTTGTGTCCTGGTGAGCGAAGGGAACGGGGAGCACTGATTTTTTTATTTTTTTTCCCCATGGTAAAAAAAAAAAAAAATCAAGATCAAATGCTAAAATATATAGGTATTTAGAATTGATTTTATTATAATGATTGAGGCACTGGTAAGCTTCCAAATTGCTTTAAAATGATAAATATATCAATAAAACATTGTGTTAAACTGATACTTGTATATATAGTGGCGTTTAATTATGGAAAAACATGGATTTTGGATTTTTTTTTTTAATTAAGAGAACTCGGGATTTTGAAACAGAGAAATCCAGGATCCCTGCTGTTTATGGCTCTGTGCAGCTGCACACCCCTAGGTCCACGCTGCTGCCTGGCATTAGGAGCCAAGCCATGGACTTCCAGTAGCCCACTGAACTAATGGCGGGCTGGGTAGAACAGTTCCATGAGCTGGATCCAGTCTACAGACTGTATAATTGACACCCCTGCTATAAACTCTTCCCACCTCGCTTGTTGCATTTTTGTCTTTCATGAGATATCTTTATTTTCTGAATATCTGACAATCCAAATGCTATGCTCAGGTAGGTTTACATCTGGAAACCGGACTATATTATGCCTGGCAGCTTCATTCAGATGTTATCACATTTTTGATTGAGCCTCTTGTTCCTTCAAGTATCTCTGTAGACTTGCTTGGCCCATTTCCTGTGTTTCTTATTATATCTTCCTAAAGCCTAGGGGCAGGCAAAATGTGGCCCATGGCCGCATCTGGCCTGCCAGGCGATTCTATCTGGCTCATGGGGCCCCTAAAAAATTTAGAAAATTAATATTTATCTGCCCCGGCTACCTGTCAAAGATGACAAGGCAACAGCAGGACCCAGGGGCAGCAGCAGCAAGGCCCACCCAGCCCCACCCCATCGCCAGCCCCCACCCCCAGCTGGAAGCTTCTGCCAAGCAGAGGCTTCTGGCCTGGGACCCTGGGGCTGTTCCCCGCCTCTCTCCATCTGAGAGCAGAGGATCAGGTAAGAAC